TCTGTATTGTATTCTGGTATTTTGACTTATGGCTATTCCTCTGACTATTCTACACTCTGGTATCCTGACTTCAGCTTGTATTTTCCGTATATATGTCTTCCGTACTCCCTGACTCTCGACTATTTTCAGACTACTCTTAGAAGTTTAAACCCGGCCATTCTTTGGTCCGGTAACACGTCTCTTTCTGTATTACTTTCTGCGTGTTGGGGTCACTGTCGTGACAAAAACATGCAGTTTTCTCACACAGCACAATCCCACATATATTGCAAGTTTTGAGGGAGCGTGCATGCTAACTGCAGGAATGTCCACCAGAGCTGTTGCCCGTGAATTGAATGTTCATTTGTCTACCATAAGCCGTCTCCAAAGGTGTTTCAGTGAATTTGGCAGTACATCCAACCGGCCTCACAAGCGCAGACTATGTGTAACCACACCAGCCCAGGACCTCCACATCCAGCATCTTCACCTGCAAGATCGTCTGAGACCAGCCACCCAGACAGCTGCTGCAACAATCGGTTTCCATAACCAAAGAATTTCTGCACAAACTGTTAGAAACCATCTCAGGAAAACTCACCTGCATGCTCGTCGTCCTCATCAGGGTCTCAACCTGACTGCAATTCATTGTCGTAACCGACTTGAGTGGGCAAATGCTCACATTTGATGGCACCTGGCACTTTGGAGAGGTGTTCTCTTCATGGATGAATCCTGGTTTTCACTGTACAGGGCAGATGGCAGACAGCGTGTATGGCGTCGTGTGGGTGAGCGGTTTGCTGATGTCAATGTTGTGGATCGAGTGGCCCATGGTGGCAGTGGGGTTATGGTATGGGAAGGCACATGTTATGGACAATGAACACAGGTGCATTTTATTAATGGCATTTTGAATGCACAGAGATACCGTGATGAGATCCTGAGTCCCATTGTTGTGCCATTCATCCACGACCATCACTTCATGTTGTAGCATGATAATACATGGACCCATGTTGCAAGGACCTGTACACAATTCATGGAAGCTGAAAACATCCCAGTTCTTGCATTGCCAGCATACTCACCGGACATGTCACCCATTAAGCATGTTTGGGATTCTCACTATCGGCGTATACAACAGCGTGTTCCAGGTCCTGCCAATATCCAGCAACTGTGCACAGCCATTGAAGAGGAGTGGACCAACATTCCACAGGCTACAGTCAACAACCTGATCAACTCTATGCGAAGGAGATGTGCTGCACTGCATGAGGCAAATGGTGGTCACACCAGATACTGACTGCTTTTTGGACCCCCTCGGACGCCCCCAATACAGTAAAACAGCACATTTTAGAGTGGCCTTTTATTGTGGCCAGCCTAAGGCACACCTGTGCAATAATCGTGCTGTCTAATCAGCATCTTAATATGCCACACCTGTGAGGTGGATGGATTATCTTGGCAAAGAAGAAGTGCTCACTAACAAATATTTAGACAGATTTGTGAACTATATTTGAGAGAAATAAGCCTTTTGTGTACATAGAAAAAGTTTTAGATCTTTGAGTTCAGGTCATGAAAAATGGGGGCAAAAACAAAAGTGCTGCATTTATAGTTTTGTTCAGTGTTCTTGGTGGCTGTGGTTTATGGTGTGCATGCAGCCTTGAAAGACATATATGTAACATTGCAGTTAGACAGGTGGTAACATTTACAGTACATGTTTGTCCACCTGATGTGCACTGCGGTGCATTTGCAATTAAAATGATGTCTCTCTCCCGTATAACCAGCGCTTTATGTCCATTCTATGTGATAAGTGGAACTTTGACAGGGGGAAAAACTACTTATCTCATAAACCACTGCTGGAGAGAGTTTTATGGGATGAGAACAGATGATCTGGCGAGAATATGATGCTTCTTGGTGGTAAGCCATTTCTTAACTTTGTTAAGTATTTATTAGCATAATATGTTAATGCTTATCTATACAATGCACTATATTTGAAAGGGTCAGTTTTGGATAACTGTAGTCCTTTAAATTTCCTTGTTATTGGTGTTGGAAAACCACCATTATACACCATATAGTGCAATTCTAAACATGTATTTATTTATTTGAAGTGCCTACACAAAGCATGTCAAACTCAAAGGCTAGCATGGGCCAAATAAACAAGGTTTCAGTTTATGTGGGCCGCAAAATAAAAAAATCCGTAAATTTTCATTAAAACGTAGGTTTGTTTTTAAAAGTACAGTATAAAAAAAACAGCATCCCCCTTTACTAAACCCCAGTACCCCCCTCTATACTAATTCCCAGCCCTCCCTCTATACTAATTCCCAGTCCCCCCCTCTATACTAAATCCCAGCCCCCTCCCTTCCCCTCCTCTACTAAATCCCAGCACCTTCCTCTGCTAAACCCTGGCCCTTATTTAACTAAAACAAAAAAATTGTATTAGCCAACAAGCAGACTCCACTCACATTGCTGCTGCTAGTATGTGACTCCTGAGTCCAGCCTCTGGTATACCCCAATGGCGCCATCTGCACCATGTGCCAAAGCAGATCTTCCAGCTACTCCTTTAAACCCTGTGAAGGTGGAGCACTTTGACGTCACGTTGGAATGTAACGTGGCGTTGCGTGCCTCCATGCACCTCCAGGTCCTCCACTGTCCAGCCACAGTCATCGCAACACTGACCAACACACACTCACTGACCAACACACACTCACTGACTAACACACACCACTGACCGACGCACACTCACTGACTGACAGACACTCACACTGGCAGACACACACACTGATAGACACACACACTCTCTGAAAGACACATGCACACTCTCTCTGACAGATGCACACACTCACACGCCCAAGTGATCACACACACATTTTCACATTCTTGCACACAACATTTTATTTATTGTTCCTTACCTTTGGGAACAGGTGTGGGGCCTCTCCGGGGGCCAGTGGGGATCTTCTCTCGGGAGGTCTCCTACCTGCTCCTCACTGCTCCCTCATGCACGCAGTTTAGGGATGCTGGGCTGGAATGACATCATATTCCGGCCCCTGGCATCACTACAGAGGACGCGTGCGAGAGAGCAGCGAGGAGCAGAAAGACCGAGCTCCCTCGCTGCCGCCAGTGACCTCTTCTCCCTGGACGGGTAAATTTTAACAGAGTAGGCACCTGCAATGTGGGAAGAGCAGGTGCCTACTCTGCCTTAGTAAGCATGTCAAGCTTGCGGCTCGCCGCAAAGATATTCATTGACATGCTTGGCCTACACACTTATATTGTTTTATCTTTAACAGTTGCAAGTAGTTTCAAGGAGCATTGCTGGTCCATAACAAAATTTTTCTTAATGGTCTAGACCGGCATTTCCCAAATGGGGATCCACCAAAAAATTTTAAAACAAAAAAGGCCACGGGCACCGAGGGAGCACTCTCCCTGGCTCAGCTCCCTCGTGTGCACAGCAGTGATGCTGGAGCCGGAATAAGTGGCATCACTAAGAGGCGCACCAGGAAGCTGAGAAGGAAGATCACTGCTCCCTCGCCGCCTGCCCGACAGCCGCTCAGCAGGCCCACTGGACCCCAGGGACAGAGACTCCATGCCAGAACTCCCAAAGGCTGGGTGGAGTAAAAAAAAAAAAAATTGTATGTGTGTTTGTCAGTGTGAGTGTATGTGTGCTTGTCAGTGAGTGTGTGTGTTTGTCAATGAGAGTGTATGTGTGTCTGTCAAAGAGTATGTGTGTCTGAGTGTGTGTCACTGTGTGTGTATCTGTGTGTCAAGGTTTGTGTATGTGTCACTGTGTTTGTGTGTATGCCAGTATGTGTGTATTGGTGTGTGTGTGTCTGTATGTGTGTGTCAGTGTGTTTGTATGTGCCTGTGTATGTGTGTGTGTATGTCAGTGTGTGTGTGTGTGTGAGTGTCAGTGTGTGTATATGACACTGTGTGTATGTGTCAATGTGTGTATCTGAGTGTATGTATGTGCCAGTGTGTTTATCTGTGGGTGCAAGTGTGTATATATGTCACTGTGTATGTGAATTTGTGAGTCAAGATGTGTGTCTGTGTCAGTGTGTATCTGTGTGCCACTATGTGCCAGTGTGTATATCTGTGTGTCAGATACATACACTGGCACACACACAGATACACACTGACACACAGATACACACACTGGCACATACAAACACATAGATACACACACCTTGACACACAGATACATACACACACACAGAGATACACACTGTGTGTCAAGGTGTGTGTATCTGTGTGTCAGTGTGTGTATCTGTGTGTCACTATATGCCAGTGTATGTGCATCTGTGTGTCAGGTTCATACACACTGACACACAGATACACACACTGGCACATACAAACACAGATACACACACCGATACACACATACACCTTGACACACTTATACATACATGCATACATACACACAAATACATACTGTGTGTATCTGTGTGTCACTATGTGCCAGTGTGTGTGTATCTGTGTGTCAGATACATACACACACACAGATACACATTGACAAACAGATATATACACTGGCATATACAAAAAGGCACAATTTTTTTTTTTTACCGGGAGGGTGAGGGGGGATGGAGGGTTCCACAATGTTGATACACTATGTCAAAGGGTTCCACAGGAAAAAATAATTGTGAACCTCTGGTCTAGACTAAATAATTAAATGATGAATTGGACTTTTCCAACCACCCATCAATCAATAAGGGGTATGTAATCTTCAATAAAATGGGATGTTTATAAATATTTTAGCTTTTAGATTAAACCTTCCAAAAAAAATATGGGACTTCTCAACATGTAAAGAAATATATTATATATTATAAATGATAAATACTAACATATCAGTGAATAAAGACAGTTCTAGTGCAGTTTAATTACCCCTATCCCAATGCAGCCCCATCCCTTAGTCACTTGGCATAATCAAGTGCAGAACACTCCACTTACACATGTGTTCATTTTTTTAACCACTAATCAGCAACAGATTTGGCATCACTATAAACAGACCAGTGAGTAGGAGCGAAACGCGCTGCCTTCACTGTAACAGACATTTTTACATTTGTGCCTTGTATGTTTACATGCCATAACCATGTATGTATTATCCAGGGAAAATTATAGTGTAAAGAGAGACAATGCAAAGACATAATTGCAGTAAAGAGCTCTATGTAATTAAATACACCAACAGAGAATTTACAAGAGAGATAAAATATCCTTATGTGCATAGAGTGGAAGAAAAGGAGAAAATGCCATTACATAAATTAATATAATTTAACACTAAACCCTAAATTGACCTTTTTATTATTATTATTTTTTTATTGAATCTGTTTATTTATTTATTTTAAAGAAAATGAAATAGTTTATTGATTTTAACCAAAATTGTAGAGGGTGATTGATGGGCAGCTGAAAAAGTTGTTCTCTCCATATTTTTACAAAATCTATACAAAAGAGGTGAACAAAGCAAAATATGTTTATTGTTCAGGAAAATGTTTACAATTCAGTAAAATTGAAGTTTTTGGCCTCAAAATGAATCAATGCATTGTTCTTATCTTCCTGAATATAAATTTATAATCATACTGTACTTGGTGAAAAGTTTATTTTCTAATGCTTATTTATTTGGACACCAAAATCCATCAGAGGATAACATTACAAGAGGCCAATTCAACAGTTTCGTACATACAGAGAAAAAAAGAACTCACTAGTGAGCTCTGCAACCCAAAATGACCCGGGCGTCCACGGAAAACAACATTGATGAATGATCGTAGGATTTTTTCCATGGTAAAGAAAACCCCTTTAGAACATCCAGCCAGTGAAGAACGCTCTCCAGGATGTAGGCATATCATTATCCAAGTCTACCATAAAGAGAAGGCGTCACAAGAGAAACCCATTAATAAGCCTCTAGAATAGAAAGATCAGATAAACATTGCCAAAAATCGAATAAAAAAGACTGTCCATTTCTGCAACAGCATTCTGTGGACAGATGTAGCTAAGATCAACATGTACCAGAGTGATGGGAAGAATAAAGTATGGAGAAGGCTTGGAATGGCTCATGATCCAAAGAATACCACATCTTCCATAAAACTCGTTTGAGACAGTGTGATGGCATGGGCATGCTTGGCTGATGGCACTGTGTTACTAGTGTTTATTGATGATGTTACAGAAGCAGCCAGACAAGTTCTGAAGTGTATAGAGATATATTGTCTGCTCAAATTTAGCCAAATTCAACAAAGTTGTTTGGATGGCGCTTCATTTTTCAGATGGACAATGACCCAAAACATACTGCGAAGCATACCGTGAAAGCAGAGTTTTTTTCGTCAAAGGCCGAGTCAATCATCTGATCTCAAACCGATAAAGCATGCATTTCACTTGCTGAAGACAAAACTTAAGGCAGAAAGACCCATGAACAAACAACAACTAAAAACAGGCCTGGAAAAACACCACAAAGGAGGAAACCCAGCGTTTGGAGCATTCCAGATTTCATGCAATCATTGCCTGCAAAGGATTCTTGACAAAGTATTAAAAATTAACATTTTATTTAGGATTGTGTCACTTTGTCCAATTACATTTGAGCCCTTGAAATAAGGGAACTTTCTATGAAAATGGCTGCAGTTCCTAAAACGTTTCATACATTATGTTTGTTTAACCTCTTGAATTAAATCTGAAAATCTGCACTTCCATTGCACTTCGGTTGTTTCATTTCTAATCCATTTTTATGATGTACAGGGCCCAAATTATGAATATTCTGTCAGTGTTCAAAAATTTCTGGATTTAACTGTAATATACAATTATTTTTCTTTAGTTGTCCCTTTTTAAGTGAAATGCATTTTCAAATGAAAGCTTATCTTTCTTTTCAGGCTCTTAGGAATGTAAAGGGGTGTATAACTCGGGCAGAAGGTAAAACTATTTTACATTATGTTCCCCTCATCCAGTATGAGAACTCATAGTGGTCGTGGCTGTGGCTGGAGATATTACATTGAACAAGCCACAGCCAAGACCACTTAATTAATATATTGATGTCCCAGATTCCATTACATCACATGTGAATAGTTAACAGAATGTAAAACAAGACATCAAAACAACATTCCTCATGCCTGAAGGAGGTCACTTGGAGAAAGACTAGGGGGGTTCATGACATCAAAAACCCTAAGAGGAACCTTGGGAAACTGCTGTAGATTGCTGGATCCTCCTTGGGGAATATTTTAACCAAGTCAGTAATTGGCCCTTTCCTCGTGGCTGCTGTCCATGCAAGTGGAGTCTTTTCTCTCTTTTTATTTTGACACCTTGAGAAAATAGGTGACCCTTAGTCATATCCATTAAGTAGAACATAGCGTAGTTGGTTGTTAAGACACCATTTGTACAGAAAGCATGTGTATTATGTACCAAGGTATTTAAACCATCTTTGTAAAATCTTCATAACATGCTTCCTATGGAGGTGTCAAATCACATATACATTTTTGTGGTAGTGACTTTAGGAAAATCTCCAAGTTAGTGACAATTAAAAACACAAAAAACAAGACTTGTGGAACTAAATGAGTATGATATAATGAGTATGATATGCAACAGATATATTTTTATATTAGATTATATTTTCAGACAAGTCTAAGCCTACAGGTTTTTCTTACAATAGCATATATTTTACCATCCTGTATACCCCAGTGGGTAATTATTATTTACATTATAGCCTAGGGATACCTCCACTGGGCACTACTCAGATGGCTACATTGTGCAGTACTGCCATTCAGTGTCCCCACCCTCTGCATGCAGATACTGAACTTATCGATATGCATTGATTCAAATTATCTCAATGGGGAGATGCTGATTGGTCAGGGCTGTGTTTGACTTGTGCTAGCTCTGCCCCTGATCTGGCTCCTTGACAGCCTCAACCAATCCCTTGGGGAAGCACTGTGATTGGATCGGGCTACCACTTCTGATGATGTCAGCAGACAGCAGGCTGGTCAGGGTAGAGGCATCAGCTGTAGACTTGAATACAAGTCTCCCTGTATTTAGGGAGTCAAGGGGGGGCTAGATGGTGTTTTTAACAATATAGGGTTTGTGTTCCTGACCCTATAGTGTTCCTTTAATAGATTCTACCTTACAAAGCTGAATGCACTATCGGCAGTAGGCTTAACCCATTTCCCCCCATTCCCATGTGTACACAAGTTAATAGTATTTTATTATGTAATATAATTTCAGTTCTATTCTCAGCATTACAAACATATTCAGTATCCAAAAATGTACAGTCTACGTTCATTAAAAGAACAGTCTTTTTTTTTTTTTTTAATCTGCATTTAAATTTGCATGTTATACCTTCTATCCAATATTGAGACAGCTTCTTCACAGGAGTCCGATCCACCATGATTGTACTTGATGACTCATGTCCATCAAATGCTTCCTGTAGAGAAGCATTTGGGAGATACAGTGCATGCCACGCTATCACTGTGAAGCATCAATCCAAATCTTCTGTGTGAGAAGCACCAGATACACAACCAGCATCTTGAGTCAGATTGCTTTCTTGCTGACACTCGATTTCTAAATAGATTCACTAGTTGAATCGGTTTCAGAAGAAGCCTCTATTGCGGTTGGCTGATTGACAAAGACTGGCTATGCAGAGATTGAAAAAAATAGTACAGCTATTTCTCTTAAATGATACAATTTTCAGCTGTAAGGCTGTAGGGGACGCATCAATGCACCAACATTATTTCACTATGATAAAAAAGTGTGGTTACTTGGGGGTGTATGGTACACTTTTTTTTTATCTCATTATCATTATAGGTGTATAAGAGGACACACCTTTTATACACCCCTGCACTTTTACTTTTGTGATAAGAAGCGCCAATACACTTTATTTTACCATGTTTTATTATTTCACTAATGCAAAGTTATTTTGGTGCTTAGACTGTTCCTTTAATAGACTGTTTTTGTAACGTTCACAATTCCAGAAAGTTGAGCAATATATTTCAATATTTAGCTCACTATATAGGCATAAAAATAAATACTTACTAATTGGTTTAAAATAAGTTAAAATCATCTTTGAATTAAATTAATTGAGAAAATGATGCTTCTAATAAAACAGTAAAATGTGTTTTGTTTCTTGCAATATTTAATTCAATATATTAATCAATCCCCTTCCACATTTCTCTCTATTACTTCCCCTTTAAAACTGTTGATACTTTTTGAATATTGTTGCAACTGAATAAACAAATTATTTCCCTTGGTAGCATGCAACTAAACGCCAAAAAATAAATGCAGAGATGGCAGAAAGATAGAACTGAAATCTGGATATCGATATTGTTTACTTGCAGAAACATTTCTCTTCTAGTTCGACTAGTTTGACCTAAAATTTGCAATTCTCCATTGTTCTCTGCTTAGTGGAAGAAAATCCTCAACAGATTCTAAGCAACATCTATCTTCATTCAGGATAAGCAACTTATCGTGGAGTTATTGTTGGAAGACTTTTGCACAAATGCCATTCAAATGCATTAAACACATTGAATGCTTGCCAATCCACTGACAAAAATCAATTTATTAGGTAATCCTGGACGAATTGATTCGTTTGACCATGGAGTTTCAAGATGAAGCACATCCAATAAGTAGTAATTCTGTGGCCAAAACCACCGGTAAGTGAAAAATATCAGAAGGGATTTGACATGTCCCAAAGGACACAAATACTTAAAGGGATCCTATAGTGCCAGGAAAACAAACCCGTTTTCCTGGCTCTACAGGGTCTTGGAGTGCCCCAATCCCTCAGCGCTGAAGGGGTTAAAACCCCTTCAACCACTTACCTTAATCCAGCGCTGGGCTCTCTCGGTGCTGGTGACCTCGCTTCCCCCGCCGATGCCAGCTCCCGAGTGGAGCCAAATGCGCATACGGGGCCAGAGGTGCGCGCACATTCAAACCTGCCCATGTGAAAGCATTACTCAATGCTTTCCTACTGGGATCTTATTTGACGCTGGAGGTCCGTGAGGACGTCCAACGTCAGACAGGTACGATTTACTCGGTGTAAATCACAAAAGTGCCTCTAGACAGCCACTAGATGCTAGATTAACCCTGCAGTGTGAACAAAGCAGTTTCTCTGAAACTGCTATGTTTTCAGCTGCAGGGTCAAAAAATAGGGGGACATGGCACCCAGACCACTTCATTGAGCTGGTCTGGGTGCCTATAGTGGTCCTTTAAATAATCATTCAAAAGATAATTTTCGGAATGCTCTGAGAAGCGCAGCAGCAAAGGGCTGAACATGTCCTATCAACTAATGATCATCAAACTTGGACAACTAAAGACTGGAAATATGTC